AAACTCAATTTTAAAAAGAAGGAGAGCTTAATGTGCCATCATGGAAAAAGCAATCTACCCCGTTTAACACAAAATAATGTTACCGTAGTTTTTTTTTGTAAATCCTAATGCAAACAAGATTTTATTTTATTTAAAAGATGCAACAGAACTTAATATTTTACAATTTGTGCTTATATTCTTTGTTTCCTCACTCTTCTTGAAACATGTATCTGTTCATACACCAATATCAATTGGCAAATACTAGGGCTGGGGCTTTAATATGTTAATTTTGATTAACGAAATACAGAAACAAATGAAAAATTGTAGGAAAATGTTTTTAAAAAGCTGCTCTCCTTAAGTTGTCCATATCTACATTCAGACCATCCATTTGATTAAAGCAACATGAAATGTGACAACAAGGAACCATTTTTTCACATTCAAAGAGGAGGCTGGTATGGGAAGTTAAAAAAAAAAGCCTGATATCGACTGATATAGGGACCTATAGCAAAGAGCCAGTGTGTCATAATGATGCAGTAAAAAAATGTTTATTTAAGGCTTCTGCTGCATCTTTATGCCAGTAAATGTGGAAAGGGCTGTAAATTAGTTTAAACCATTGGTTTTATGTCCAATGTCTGGACTTAAAAAGCCTTATCATAAACTGTACAAAGTGCAAAGAAAGGCTGAACAGTAAAATGAGAAGTTACACAAATAGAGATAAGGGAGTTCTGTATGTCAGTCTCAGGAGGAAAGTGTTTCAGCAAAGAGGAACAGCAGTCATAGTTAAACATGTAGTAAACTAAAAAGTTTCCTTTACTGTCATAAAAAGGTCTGGGAACATTTTATTTTGCAGGTACTTCTAGGTGTGGATTTGTTGTGGAAAAGAACATATTGATAATATGGACAAATATTTGTATTTCCAGAGTAAATTCCACATTCACCCGTCTTCTCAAGAATCAGGAGAGTCTAAATGACCCATAATATTTTTTACTTAGACTTTATTGTCTTTATAGTAATTTTGTATATACAAAGAAATTTTGTTTAGTACAGCTCTCAGGACATTTTCAATTTTTAGATTATAGCAGTGATAAATGTAAATATATACATACATATATACACAACATATGAGTTACAGTTTGCAACATGGTTTTGTTGGGGTTTTTTTAACCCCATTTTATACATCATTCAGCAGTCTAATGGCAGTGGGGAAGAAACTATTCTGGGATCTGCTGGACCTGCAATTCATGCCTCGCTTCCCAGAGGGCAGCAGGGAGAACAGTCCATGGTGGGGGTGTGAGGGGTCATTTATAATATTACGGACTCAGGACATGCAGCGTCAGGATGAAATGTCCTTTATGGAAGGAAGAGGAGCCCCAATGATCCTCTTTGCTCTTCTCACTTTTACGCATCATGTCCATCGATCTCTCTGTACATTTTTAGTCTGCAGTTTTTTCATTTCTATCTTGAAAGTCGGAGAAATGTTGTATAATCTACGGTAATTTAATGGTAAACCTTTCTATTTAGGAGTCGACCCACTGTTGACTGATGAATTCGTCAATATGAATCTGGAAAAGCCTAAAATCTTACCCTTATGTATGTAGGAACCCTAAATTAAGCAGACTCTACAGGTCCAATGAGTCCACTGTATCCTTGAAAGAGGAATCAGATAATATCTGAATAAATCAATAACCAAGAAAAAAGAATTGCCACCCTCTCATTTATTTTTGCTTCACTCCTTTCTAATAATAAACCACACAGACAATCACCAAAAACATGTTTAAACACTTTCACATCCTTTCAGTATTTCATCACCCTGCACCAAAGATCTTAATCCCACCACTGATCAGTAACTCGTGTGTTTGCAACACCATTGTGTAATTTTGTTTTCTTCGCGGCTCTTGCTCTCCTGTGCTTCTCTATTCAGACCCACAGCGGCAGGAATTCCTGATCCATTTCAAGCCCCAGTAAAAATGCTGATAACTCATACCCAACATGTTTATGATTTCTTATTTATCTCCAAACTTCATCTCGGCACTGGCGCATGCTTTGTCTGCTTTACACAACTATTTAGGTTACAGTTCATTCTAGATGGAGGGTCTGTAGAAGCTGAAAAACTGGTAATGCTCAGCTGAAAAGATTTTAAAGTGAAGCTGTTCTTGGCCACATTTTACCGAAAAATATTAGCAGCATGTTTTCAAGTAGTTATTGGGACCATTTTGCTCATGTTTTTTGGCTTCGTGTTCCCTTAAAGGCGAAAGTACATAGTTATGATCTGGACAAATGATGCTCTTTATTTCTTTTTTGTGACAATCCCCAATATTTATGATTTATACTGTCCTCCTTAGTATGGCTCATACCTCAACAGAGATAATAGCTGCTAAATGTCCTCCTCTGCCATAAAAACGTCTGAGCCATCAGGCGCACACAGTAAAAGATGAGGAGAAGGAACAACCATACCCTAAAGCCTATGAAAATGCCATTGATGTTAACTATCCAAGCGTGCAGTGCCAGAAAGCACGCTGTTTGGCCAGGGCTGTTATCTGCATTTAGTAAAGACAGGAGTCTGAATCTGTCCATTCAACTCAGTGTGTTAGATGTTGCGCTTCTTTGATGTGCTTTAATGTTTTGGGCTTTGATTTACAAAGAGGCTTTCTTATAATTTTCTTGGGGTTTTGAATCCATTTCAGCCACTTATTAGTTAGAAACCTGTAAGTACTTCTTGGAGGATAAGCTGATGAGTACAGAGGCCAAACTGTTCTTCAGGCCTTTGAAGTTAACATGCGTGGACTAGACGTTTGGACACTTTTATTTGTGGTTTAAGGTGTGTGAACACCTATTTTAGTTGTATCTAGTCTTAGACACATATGTAATATGTAAGCTTGTGTTTTGTTGAGCATTTATTTCTGTATCTGACTGTTCAGCGTTGGCTTTTTGTTGGTCATTATTGTAAACTTCTGCTTTTTATGGGGAACATTTGAGTTGTGTTTGTTTGTTTTTTTAATGGAGGGAAAATTTCCAGAAAATCTAATTTTACATTGAACTTTTAAAGCATTATTTCAAAAAAGGAAAAACAACTCAGGGAATAGACAGATTTAATTTCAACTCGTTATATTTAATGTGTTTTACTTTCAAAGTTTTACAAACACGATTCATTAAAATGTTGTGTGTATTTATGTGTCTCTCTTGAGACGGTACTTTGTAGAACCACATCTGCAAGTGTTTTTTTACCGTCATACTTCAACCAGCTTTGAACATAATTTTTTTAACTCCTACTTCAACAATACTCCTAAATAGATTGCCCTACTTTTGCAACTTAAAGGTATAGTGGAGGATGTTCCACTTGCACCACCCTGTACCCACTCCCAAGAGGCAACCTCTATTAAAAGCGTGCAAGAGCGTGCACTAGCCCATTTCTCCTTGTGCATGCTATGTTTAAAAGTTGCTGTTTGCATCGCTCATACAAGCTTACTTTCCAAAAGAAGAGTTGCAATTTTTCCACTATGTCGGACTCACCACCCTTAAGTGAAAATAGGGGCGAGCACATAGGACGGCCTTACGGAAACATATGACCAGAATGATTGACAATTAGAATAACCACTTATTTTCATGATCCACCTGGAAAAAGGACATCCTCCACTATACTTTTAAGATTAGAAGGGGGTTTTTGTCAACTCATAGTTGCCCAAATTTGTCGAGGACGATCTATTATTTCCGGTTGGATCATCTAAATAAGTGGTCCTGCTGATTGTCAATCATTATGGTGATATGTTTACATAAGGCCGTGCCATTAGCTATCTTTTTCTGAGCATGCACACTTTCAAGCATATATCTGTGGTGAGCTATGATTTCAGACAGTCATTGAAACTCACCTTTCTTACTGCAGTTTTTGGAAAATGGCCGTGGGTCGTAAGAGAAAAAGTGTCTACGAAGTGTATGAGAAGAAAAGAAAGGCCTCAGAAGAGGCAGATACATCCCAGAATGCTTTGCGTGGACAGCAAAGTATGGACATGCACAAGGAGAAAGGAGCTTGTGCATGATCTTGCACGTGCATAATTTTTTTAATTGGAGAGGGCGGGTCTTTTAAAAAAATTTCTCCACAATACCTTTAAGGAAGCTGCTAATGAGGGACCAAGACAATATTCTTGATTTTTTTTATTCAGTAATTTATTTTTAAAACCTTTATTATTAGCTTTGAGTATTTTATATAGAGATTCTACAATCGCTCTCTTCTCTGGCCATCAGATACTTTCATGTCTTCGGTCTGATTTTCAAAAATTAAACAGACTACATTAAAATATTAACTGCTTTTTAAAGTATTAACAGAAAAAAAATTATGAAAGTTGTGAATTGATTGTTTGATTTCAGCCTCTGACCGACTAGTTGGCTCCCCTTTCATTTTACCATACACAAATTAGCAACAAGTCTTTTTTTGAATAAACTACAACCGGTAGCTCTTAAACGGTAAAGGCTGTCTCTCAAAGTCATGACATTGATCATTTTACATTTACATCATTGCAGAAAAAAAAATAGAAACAAAAATAAAAGGTAGAGGACAGCATTTCTTTCTTCTTAGTTAAGATTCAGAAATTTTCAATACGAAAGCCTAAATGATTTTGCGCCACCACAGTGTATTTGCATGTCCCCAGCCAGTCTGGGACCTGTTTACTTGAGCTGGTGGGTGGGGCCTTTTATCTGCAGTCATCCCCATGGTTAGACTCTCAGAGATGTGTCTGCCTGGTGACACACCTGTGTTTACAGTTTACAAAGCATGTAAACAGCGACTAGCGTGTGTGTGTCTGTCTGTCTACCCACTCAGACATCATATACCTTAGCAGCCTTTGTAATGAGTGGCTTTACCTGGTAAGACGCCAACTGTGAGACTTGTCATTATATCTCTCACTACCCTGTCATTGTGATGGCACCACTTTACAGCAGCACAAACTCGCTGGCTCCACTTGTTTAGCATGTTCATCTTGCACTAAAATAACCAGTTCATATTCTGTCTTTGTAATGAAATGTTTTAGATTCGCCAGATGGACCGGAAAATGGACTCAGTCCTGCGGATTCTGACGGAGCAGTTTCCGCCAAAGCCGGACCTGACGTCAAAGCCATCCATTCGTAGGGTGACCATCCAGAAGCGCATGGGCACCAGCATCGACGAGGCACCCTGATAAAGCAGTGACGTAAAACGCTAGGACTTTACGTTAACAGCCTAGCCCCCTCGAGGGAGTCTGTCTTCCAAACCAACCTCCTTTTTTTTTTTTCTGTGAACTTTACACCCATAAGAAAAAAATTATTAAAAAACTAACCCATATGAGAGGAAAACAGCCTCTGTCAGGGAGGAGTACCTTATTGTCTGGACTTCTGATGGCTTCTTGATGGGTATTTTTTTGTTACTTGTTTCCTCTGCACTGGTATTTTGCAGCACACAGCTCAGGCAGCAACATGTTCTATGAATTTATTTCACCACATTAGCCTCATAATCACACTTCTCTATGATGATAATTTATGTGTTGCCTGTCACTGAGCAGCATTCCTCTGTTCCAAATATCTTTCCAAAGCTAAATAACCCCTAATGAAGCTGTAATGCAATTAATGCACTCTGGTTTCCTAATGACATTCAGAGAAAAAAGAAAAGTTGTAAATCCACACCAGCCAATGCATTCCTCAGATCTGTCAGATTATCTTGGCTCAACTCAGACCTACGGAACAGAGTTAGCTTTACGAACACATATCCATGCAGCCTAACTGTACTTAGATTTGTGTGCTTTGTTTGTAGTAACTGAGAAACATTTAGACAGGAAAAAGGATAATCATATGTTGGTTTTGTCCTTCTCCTGAGTAAGAAATAACTGGCAGAACTGACTAAAATGGACTGTGGCAGCAATTTAATTCAATTTACTATTGTTTAATACTTTAAGAATTGAATTATACCCTTAGTCATGTTAAAGGGATAATTAATGGGGTTTTTTAAGGTGAAATTCTCTAAGGGTTTCTGAAATTGATTCTTTCCTTACATGTGAAAAGAGGCTGTATGTTCATTGTATTCATAGAAATCCTCAGTGGTGGAAAGCTTGTTAGATGGTGATGATTTCAGAAACTTAATATGCCTCAAACCAGAACCGTTTTTTCTTCATTTTATGGGATATTATTTTTCACAAGAACTCTTTATTGCTGTTTTTCTGCCCAAAACTACTGAGTAAATACACAAACTTACATTGCATGAGATCGATAGCTTGCCAGGTTTGCTAATCCCAAGTCCCAAGTTGGATGTATCATAAACTATGAGTCCTGGAAAGCTATTAGATTGTTCTATTTTGGCTACATTTACACCTATGGTCTTGATTCCAATTTATTATTTGGCATGGTTGTTTAATATTTGGCATGGTTTATATGCAACACGCCATCAGACTGATTGGCTCACATACGCAGGAGAAGAATGTAGCAGCACACAGCAGCACACCTTGTTTACAGAACTTATAATGGATGCCAGAATCCATTTCTTTTTCATTATTATGCTGTTAGGCAACGGGAGCAAACAACATTATGACAACATTATAAGAAGATGAAGAAATGTAAGAAAAACAGAGTATTACTATTTACTATGGAATGTTGTGGAGCAGCTGCTGCATCTATAGAGAAGTCTATGTGGATGTGTAGCTTTGGGTAATGAGGTAGTGAGTCAGATAAAAATTCTACAGAACTGCTCCGAATAAGGACGACTTGAAAACCGTCAGATATGCATCTAGTGTGAATTTCTCCTCAGATGTAACCAGCTCTCTTATTGGTTAGACTGCCACACCTGATTCACAGAATAACCAATAAGAGGGCTGGTTATGTCTGAGCAGCAACTGTGATTGGTTTAACTGGTTTTCAGTCTGCTCAGGGACCAGAAGGGTCATGAAAGAGGTGAATGGAGAGGGACAAGGAAAAAGAAAATGGGAAAAGTGATTTAAAAATCAAAGTTGAAGAAAATGGAATAAGGAATTATCTTTTTAAACTTCTGATTAGAAAATTTATTTTGAATCTGATTTATGAATTTTGCTTTTTAAATCTTCATTTATAAATAGGATTTGAAAAAATGGATTTGAAAATACATTTTTGAATTCCAGTATCTAATGATGGAATACAAAAATACAAATACAAAATTGTAATTCCTCTTTCAAATTAAAGTTAAAAAGTAAAATCAGAAAATGCTTCTCAAATTGCATGATTTAAAATTTACATTTGAAATGTTTTCTTTTTCAGTGACTCTCCAGGTCCTCCATACTCATTTGTCTACAGTATGAACGTATAGCCTTTGATTCCTTTCCAAAAACTCTTACAGCAGGGGAGACTGTTAATATTATCAATGATGGTGTTTTATTAAGTGAACATAAACAAAAGGACATTTAAAAAAGATCCAGCTAAAGCTAAGTTGTCTAAATTAGCTATGACAGAGATTCCTTTTGGATTCCTGTCTTTACAGTCTTCAGATTTTTTTTTTCTTTTCTACAAACTTACAGCAGTATGATGAATTTTATTGCCAAAAGTAATTGCTCTTTGATTAAAATAATTGAAATCAGTGTTCCCAATAATTTTTATAGCCATGGGTACATAAAAACATGGTACATAGGCATTGAAAATACTTCTATAAACCTTAATGAATGAATGGATTAGGAGCCCAGTGAACTGATTGTGATACCCTGATAGGATGCCATCTGGGCAGTAAGGCTTGTCTTCAAATCCCGTCCATCCATCTGCTCCCTCTTATTCCATCAGGGTCACGGTGGGGCCAGTGCCTATCTCCGGCAGTCAATGGGCGAAAGGCGGGGTACACCTTGGATAGGTCGCCAGTCTGTCACATGGCAACACAGAGACACACAAAGACACACAACCATGCACACACACACTCACACCTAAGGACGGTTTAAAGAGGTCAGTTAACCTAACAGTCATGTTTTTCGGCTGTGGGAGGAAGACGGAGTACCCGGAGAGAACCTACAAATGCACGGGCAGAACATCCAAACTCCATTAAGTAAGGAATTGAACTGAGAATCAGTGTGTCCTACACACTGCCGCACTGTGCAGCCCATTGTCTTCAAATCCCCTCCCTAAATTATTCACGATCATCTTACAGTGGTATGACAAAGTGGGAGCAATTGAGAATGAAATTAACTCAGCCACAAAAATAAAAGACCACACAAACCGATAGAACGTAGGTGAAGGATGCTGATGTCCATAGAGAACAGGGGTTGACAACTTTCTGCAGAGTCAAATATTACAGACCGGTAAACTTGTGTGGCCTTTCACTCAACAAAGTGCGTAAAGAGCTTAATGGTATGGTTTTCAAAAGCCGAGTAGATGCATCCATGCATATATCACTAAGTGGAATGCAATTTGTCAGAAGCAATGCCTCCACTGGACTCTAGAGCAAAGGAGACATGTTCTCAGGAGTAAACTGCCCCTTTCCATCTGACAATCTGATGGACCAATCTGGGTTTTGCAGGTTATGCTGTGGGGTTGCTTTTCAGGAGCGACACTTGGCCCATCAGTTCCAGTGAACGGATCTGAATTCTTAGTCATCCAGAGAGATTTTGGACAAGTCCTTTATCTAGCTTTGCTGAAACAGTTTGGAGACGGTGTAGATACCTGATCTGACCACCTGAGTAGATCTTGTACCTACAATGGTCCTATCCTCCTCCAGCATGACACGGTCAGAAGAACAAGGTCCATAAAGATATAGATAAATGAACCTAGTGTGGATGAGGTTTACTGGCCTGCACAAAGAGCAAACCTCAACACCTCTGGGATAAATAAGAGCAGACTGAGAGCCAGGCTTTCCTGTCTAATGTCAGTTTATGACTCCTAAAATGTCAGAAAGAAATGTCAGAAATTCCCAAAAAAACACAAACCTTGCTGACAGCTTTCCCAGTAGATTTGAAGCTGTTATAGCTGCTGATGGTGGATCATCATCAGAAACAACCCTAAGTTTTGAAACAGAGTTTTACTGAAGTTTTATGGGAGTTGAGTGAAAACTTTTGGCAATATACTTAGGAGTTTCTTTTGAAGTGACAAACTGACAGAGGCTCAGTTAAGAAATCCTGGACTATTAGAAACAGTAGGCCCTCTTTATATATAGAAACAGCTTTTTTTCGTTTCTATATTTTTCGTTTCGTTTCTTTTTTGGGGCTGTATTTTGGGAATATGGTTGCCCTTTCATTAAAATATTTTTTGGGTAAAATCCATAAGAAATCTTTTTTATGTCCATTGCATTGTGTTTTAAATAATGTATTGTTCTGCTTGTGGGAATCTTTGAATTACAAGTCAGGAAAATCAAGTACAACATCTGGGATTTTAAAAAGACCTCCCGGAAAATTCAGGAGACCCTGGTCAACACTGAGATCAGATTAGGTATGGCTGTTTCACTTATAAAAAAAAAAAAAGACTAAATCGTTTATTAGAACTTGTCACATAAAACCATCAGAAAAACAAACACTCTCTAGAATCTGTATTTCATTTTGCTGTTTAAAAGAGTTCAGCTGAGGGCCCCAAAAAACACAGACGAGCTGGTTATTACGAGACAGACGTATTACCCGGACTCTTTTAAGATGTAATGTTGTGAGACTGAAAACTCAGATCATAAGGGCCTTTAGTGTATTTTTTTATTTGCTTAATTTTTGTTCAGATTGGAATCCTGCCTGATCAAAGCACTGGGAAAGAAATGATAACGACTCATATTTTATGCTGCTGGATCATAAACCTAATGTAGGTAGAACTTTAACGTTCAAAAAGATGAAAAAGAAGCTAACTAGACAAGATATTACATATAACCGTGCATACAGAGATGTTGCAGCAGGAATTACTCTTGTTCTATGCAAACAGCTGGACTGGGCAAGGGAACAACACTGCTGTTCACAACAAACATCTGACAAAAACTTCTACCATAACAGCCTTTTATTCATTGGATCCTGCAGACCCTCTTTATTTAAAACATGTCAGTTCCACGCAGTGGTTCACTATCATGAAGACATCTTCAGAAGGCTGATGGGAGCGTTGCTACCTGTGGAGACAGGTAGCAACGCTCCCATCAGCCTTCTGGAAAACCTGAACAAATGTTTTAAATGATAGACAGGGACGGCAGCGCTCCTCTCTACTGACTCCTTGTTTGACATGTTTAGTTCTGCTTAAGCTTTTTATTTCCTGCTAGATCCAGACATAAATAACTGTTGTTCCTCAGTTTTAAGTATTGTCATCAGGGGGGTCTGTAAGTAGGATTACATTTTAAAAACATATACCCAGATTCATGTAATTGGAGCCAGTCAGATGTTAGGGATGAATGTTTGCTATAATTGAAAGTATGTCTATATTTTCATTTGAAAAAATTGCCATCTGCATCTTTTCGACTAAACTCTGTGTTCTTGGGCAAATGTCTGACTTATAGTATCTTTGATGAGGTTTTTTTTCTGTAAGACAGGTTAACAGATGCTGGGCACAAAGAGCACACATTTAAAACAATAATAAAAAGGCTCTCTTATTTTCATCCTTTGTTTTATCTGACTCTCATTTCAGATGTGTGTGGTGGAAAAAAAGAAAGTAGCTATTGTATGGAAGGCCTCCCATAATTATAGCATGCACATTCCTAAAAAGATGGATTCATACACGTGTATATAAAAGGGAAGCTGAAGAGGGTTTTTTTTCTCTGCACTAGTATGTATTTTTATATTTGCTGTGGTAAAAATTAATTTATCTTACATCATATAAACAGTTTGGATTTAAAGGCACTCTTGTTGCTTCTCTTGTACAGTTTTCTATGAGTTGTAAATAGAAACATTGCCTTATTGCACTGTATTTATTACTATGTGAAAAGATCAACCCAAGGATGTGTCCGCTTGTTGGATTTACATGAAATGCTGTAAGATTTCTGAAGACAAATGTATAAAAAATATCTTAAACACTATTAACACATTCCCTCTTTATTGTAGCTTCTCTGTAAAAAATAAAAAACCTTTTCAACATAAAGTGTTTTTCTCAGCTCATCTGTTGTATATACTGGTACTGGTTGGCAAAAGTTTTCAAACTACCGTGAACTTTTTTACATATAGAGTTCAAATTAAATTTTGTGCAACTGTGAATTGAAAGGCTTTCAAAATAATTTCCAAACTTCTGTATGCATTCAGCCATTTTCACTCAGATACCCTGAAATAAAACGTAGTGCAATCAGCTGCATTCCGAAGTCTTTTACTATGTGAGTAAATAGTTCACTTGGTTTAATACGGTTTGATCTCAGGATGAGTCCAGCCTTTCTGTGAAGGACTTGGATCATTTTCAAAGAACATGTGTGAACAAACAGCAACATGATGATCAAGAAACAGAGCAGACAAACCATGGGATTGGTGGAATTGGAATTTGTGAAGAAATATGAAGCAATATTAGACTGTAAAACAACATGACAAGGTTTAAATATGTTATGGAATGTTGACAAGCCCATAGTTGAAAAACGGAAAGTATGAAACAACTTTAGATATAAGGAAACAGAATATTGAAACTTTTAAGGTCATTCAATTGCAGCCCTAACCAAAGAAACAGCCATGAGGTATAGGTTAGCTATAAAAGAGATGCACACATCCACAGCTGAGGTAGCAGAATCTGTACAGTATACAGGACAACTATTAACTTTACACAAATAATGTATTAATTAAAGCCTTTGTTGAAATACTAACATTAGTAATCCTGTTTGCAGATTACTTTTGGCCTATAGGATAAGGGGAAATATGTGGAGGTTTACTAACTCAACAGTTCACCATGAACACATCCTCCCCGCAGTTAGGCATTGTGATGGGAGCATCATGGTGAGGGGATGCTCCTTAGCAAGGTAAAGGAAATCCTGGAGGAAAACCTGCTGAAGGCTACAAAAAAAAAATACTAGGATGGAGGTGCACTCTCGACTATTAT